TATATTTTGTTTCGTTTTTTTATACTTTCGATGGCCTACACTACATGAAGATCTGACAAGTTACAGCGATAGGTCACGTCAGGGGTCAAAAGACCGACTTATGACCTATATAACGTCAGACATTTGATTAACCAATCAGCATTGATGTTACTAGTGGATTACCCACAGTTCCGTGCAAAACACGCCCAAAGCTCGCCGTAACAGACCGTTTCATTGGCTTATCCCTTGACACCACTCAGAACAGGAATTAAATAACAACTCTTCCAGATCCAAGTGTAGTAAAGACCAGTAAAACGAAATTTTGAACTATAAAAACGAAACGGAAAAGGATCTGTGTTTTAATCAGATTGGTTTAATTCAATAAAAATATAAAAACCTAAAAAGGAACCTGAACTGTATTCAAAGTTTTAATCACGGAGAGAGAGAGAGATAGAGATGGGATTTAACGTCCACTCGACACAAACTAGGTCATTTCGGGACTAACACATGGTTTAATTTTATTTCATTAATTCGCTTGCGCGTAGGGGTCTTTAGCAGTGGGAGGAAACCGGAGGACCCGGAGAAAACCCACGAGGTTGGACAGGCGACCCTACTCCTTGTCACGTACAACCGGGGATTCGAAACCACGCCAGTTGACTCAATGACAGGTCGTATGATACAGCAAGCACGTGCTAACCATTCAGCCCCCCACCCCCACACTTTAATCACGTGACTATTAGGGCTACAGATCCCGCTGTTGGCCGAGAAAGTTTATCGGGATTTTCAGGCGTGGTTCCGCCAAGTCAGTGCAGATGGGATTTTCAGGCGCCCCCCCCCACCGCCTTGTCAGTGGTGGGATGAAAAACCGAGGTTCCGTATACAAATTGGCGTGCACGTAAAAGAACCCTTGGCAGTTGGAATTCGATGTTCGGACGTCATGGCACACTGTATGGTGTTAAATCCTATTTCATTCCTTTTTTTATTGGCTAGAGGTAATAGTTCACTCCAAGCTTCAGTGCACTTAGGTACCTTTTGTAATGTGCACAAATTTTATTTAGGTCATAAAAAAAAAATGTTCTGGTTCTCTTGTTAAATATGTTAATTGCCACTGACGTAATAGCTAAATATATCTTGAAACAAAATAGTCCCAAGGTAAATATCTCGCGCATAATATTCTCGTCACATGAATAAATTTGCATATCATTAAAGCTAGGATTTGTGGTGGGTTTGGTAGGGGGGTTCCCCCGAGAAAACATTGAAATTGTGAATACATTTAGCGCAATCTTAGTAAACCTGAAACTGAACATTGGCCATACTCAGCTCAGTGTTTCGCTTGCTTAAGGAATATCAATATAAGCTTAATCGTTGGACGATTTCATCATTGTTTTTGTTAATACAAAATTTGAAATATTTACATCATTTAGAAATGAAATGAAATGAAATGGAGTTTAACGTCCTACTGTTTTGCTCCGAACTGGGCTAATGAAGACGGGCATACGCCATACAGTGTGCTATGAGGGAAATTTTGCCCGGACAGCGGCACTACGGCCTACTCTTATATCGAATTCCAACTGTCAAGGGATCTTTTACGTGCACGCCAATGTGTACACGGGTCCCATCCGAACGACTAGACAGCTGTCCTTATCAGGCCCTCCGTCCTGCATCACTGACAAGGGGAAACCATGCCGGAAAATCTGGATGAACTTTCTCGGCCAATGCAGGGATCGAACACCCGACCTCCAGGCTAGCGAGCCAGCGTCTTACCCACTTAGCCACCTGATTCCCACATCATTTAGAGGAGTGTCAATAGGTATACAGGGCTTGGGATTAATTGGGTTTTGGTGAGAAAGATTGACCGGATATTTTCACTCATGTTAACATTTCAATAACATCTTCCTGGTTGTTGTGCGTGAACAGGAAGTTTTATTATTTTTTAAATTTCATATTTATCTGTTATACATCCTTATAATCATAGCAACACATCTTACCCCTTTCCAAGTGAGATATTGTTGATGGCCAGTTAATAATGGTACGTACGATAGGGGGCGCCCAGAGCGGCACTTGATGTGGACGGGGAGCAACACGTTTGGTCCGATACATTGAACAAAAAGGCTGTGTAGTGGTTGGAGGGTAAACCCAAGGACTTCTCCTGGGGGGGGGGGGGCATGATGCTCTATTACGAGACTCGGTAAGATCCACGATTTGTACAGTGGTATGGGTATATCACACGTATACACCACTCTACTAGTCATCGATCTAGAGCGGGGCTTCTCGACCCGTTTGGTCCCGTTTGTCCCTGTAACTTTCCAAGTACCCCCGCCCCCTCCACTATGTTTTGTTCAGTAGATTGAACAATCTGATTAAAACACAGATCCTATTTTGTTTCTTTTGTTACAGAAAAAAAATTCGTTTTACTTGTCTTCCCAACACTAGGATCTGGAAGAGCTGTTATATAACAGGCTTTCTAGTTGATGTGAAGAATTAGCCAATGAAACGGTCTGTTATGGTGAGTTCTTGGCGTGCTATGCACGGAACTGTGGGTAAACCCCTAGAAACGTCAACGCTGATTGATTAATCAATGTCTGACGTTATAGATCAAATGTCGCTCGTATGACCTCTGACGCGACCTCCCAGTACAACTGGCCAGATCTTCATGTAGTGTAGGTCATCGAAAGTATAAAAAAAAACCGAAATATAGATCTGTCTTTTAATCAGGTTGTAATTTGAATTTACACTTCTAAAATAACAAAGGCAATATATTGTAGATCTGTTATGATTACTTTGGGCTGATGGAACTTCAGACCAACAGATATTTGGAACAACGGACGGACAGGTCTTCGGTCCAACAGATCTTCGGAACAAAAATATGGACAGATTTTCGTATTAACGAATAATCCCGTGAAAAATACATGTCAGAAGAAAAAGGCTCACAGCAATAGACAATAGTTTTATTTATTTACATGGAATTAGAATATACAAAACCCAGTACACAGTTGAAATACACAATGGTGATTATACACAGCAGTGATTATACACAACAGTGATTATACACAACAGTGATATACAACATGAATACACAAACCCACAATATACAAATAAACTCATATCCATCATCATTGATACACATTTTCTAGTGCGATCCCCGTGTTGACCGAGAAAATTAATCGAGATTTTTCGGCGTAGCCCCCCCCCCCCTTTGTCAATGGGGCACGTCAAGGGACAACATGTAGTCGTTCGGGTGGGACAAAAAAAGATATCCCGTGTAGGTCGACGTATTGGCAGACACGTAGAAGAACCCTTGACAGTTGAAATTCGATATAGACCGATTTATTGTACCAAAACATCCATTCAGGAGAGAAAACTTCATAATATACACCATATAGACATATATATACTCTTCAAAAAAAGTAGGGGATATTGAAAGCAAATACCTATGCAGGTTGCCATATGATAAATAGTCATGAACACTTGACATGCTTTGAGAGTATGTTCACAGATGAAGAACTTGTCACACCAAACAGAACAACTGAGCTGCACATGCGACACGCAATAGCGCCATACACGTGGGAGGGGTTCATTGTCAAATTTAACACGCTTTAAGGAAGGGTTGATGAAAACTGCCGCGTGCTGTTTTATCTACCCATGTTGGCTTTCCTATTGGTTCTTGCATAAGATTTACTGTTTAGCGTATCTTTGCTTTAGTGTGTCACGTTTAATTTGATCGGGGGACGTGTTCGTGGACGTCAACGTCAACCGACAACACTGCAAGAATTGGCCGTGGCACTGCAAGAGGAGTGAGTCAGATTGCCCCAAATCGTGATTGGACGGTTGATTAGGGGCATGCCACGGCGAAATGCTGAATGTCTGAGGATCGGTGGAGCAATTACTCATTATTAAAACAAAAATCAAAAACGTCCATTTTCACTTTTGACTGTGTATCTCTTTGCGAGTGAAATGGGGCCGTCAGTCAGATAAGCCGCCCACATGAACTGTTTATGTTCATGTGTAGGCAATTGGCCTGTTATTAACATACACTGCAGTTACCTCTAATAAAAACAGCAGTGCATTTCCGCAGTTTTGTATTGTTTCTGAATATCCCCTACTTTTTTTGAAGAGTATATATATATATTAATACGAGTCGAATGGCCTACATATATAATAATAATTAATGCTTTATTACACAACTGCATGGTATATACACGAGTATGGTAAAGCATACAATACAAAGTACAATAGGCTACAATAATAAACATCAGAATATAAGGTTTACAGAGGTTTCTAAAAGTATATTAAATTATATTAATATCTTGTAAGGACGTACGGTATATATATTCGGCCTTACATAGCAAATGGTATTTAATGTCTATTTTTAAACATTTCATATACGAACATTGCAACATCTTGTATGGTTTACATTTATCATCGTTCATATATACATGCATTATTGAATCATTAAAACTAGTTTTAATGTGATGACTTAAAAAAAATTTCCGAAGATTATTGTGGGCGGAGCAATAGAGAAGAGCGTACGTGTGTTTCGTCTTCTACTTTTTCCGCTAGTACAATTACATAATAGGCCGTAGTAACCACTGTCCCAACAAAATTTCCTTCGTAGAACAGTTTGCTTCATAACTCCGCTAAAATATAGATTAAAGAAGTATACATTATGTATAATCCGTTCAATATCTTTTTCAAATTTGGGTTACTACGCAGCATCAATTTATGTCTACACGCGTACCTCAACATAAATGAGCGTTCTGATGAAATAAACTTTTAGAATTCTAAATCTAGCTCTCATAAAAACTCATAGAGAAGTTCTATCGGTGGGCGGAGGAATACAAGTCATGTTTCTTTTATTTATGAATGAATCACTGTTTTCATTCATAATTCTGAATTAATAACGATGCAATTTCTTAATATCAACAAAATATCAATGTTGTGCATGACGTCACAATACGCGCACCTGTTACAAGCATGGAAAAACAAAACGGTCCCTCGTGACGTCACGGGTTGGAGAGGTCACGGTTGATCGAACAGAAGTCATGTCGCATGAGTAGTCTAACGTTGGACGTAAATATTCAAACCATCTAACGGATTTAACTCGTAGACAGGACGAATGTAAGCCAAAAATGAGTGTCCTACATAAAAGCGTGGTGTCGATAAAGAATAATAATGAACGACACTGCAGAAAGGTAAGAGTGTTTAGCTAATTTCAATGAAACTTTCCATGCTGTCAGTTGAGTGTTGGTATGGAATGTTTTGACTGGAAAGTTATTGATACAATGTTGTCAAACGATGGTTATTGTGCGTGTGTATAGACCGAAAGCGACTGGCTTCTTTGTGAACCTATTCACTAGGTTACTCGGGTGGGTGGGGCTCGAGGAATTTCACTAAATTTAGGAGGTTGACGATGGAATGTCGTAGTATTAACTTAAATTGTAGAAAATTGTTGCTATTTTATTGTTAGTAGGTCAATCAGCTGATTTTCGCCATGACGGTACAAATGACAACAAACATGTACACGGCATATTTTAATTTATCCATTTAAAAAAAGTTTGTGATCAATGGATATAGAAATTGGACTTGCCTAGAAATTGAAAAATCTAACATTACATATGTACATTATAAAACAATGTTTAATATGTTAGAAGAGTAAAGACTTCATAATCACATGTACATGTGTTCTATTCAAAGTTTTAAACCAAGATTTAGTAACAAAACCATTCAAGAATATTAGATCATGAACCATTACAATTTCATTTGTTTATTTCAACTAGAAGGAACGTCATTTCGGTCCTGCGTCATTTCGTACTCAACACAGGCGACCTTTCGGACTCCGTTTGACGACGGTTCAGACTTACTCTACGACTTTTCGGACTCGGTCTGGCGACGTTTCGGACTTGGATGAATAATTAAAAGACTGTTGAAAATTTGTGTGATATATTTGTAATACTATAGCTGGTTTTGTTTTTGTTTTATGTGAGTCCGATATTCACTTGATCTGATATGTGGTTTGTTGTTTGATGTGTCTGTGTCATGTCCATAGGTTTGTCTTGTGTGGTGCTGTCCCCCTGGTGCACGTACCTGTATCATCTGGACTGAACCAAATGAGCTGTAATAGTAAGTGCAGGGAGACTGCACCACACACAATTACACAAGACACAATAAGCAGAAATCACAAACAAATGTAAATATCAGATTAAAGGGACAATAACACTCTTGCTGGCTTGAAAGCTCCAGAAAATAAATAATATCTCTATCTAAGTACTAGATGTTTAAGTGTCCTACCTGTTGTGTAAATTATCCATTACATCCTATTTTACTTGTCCAGAGGGTTCGAAAATATTTTTAAATCGAAGTTTCATTTGAAAAGGTTTACGTTAGACGTTTCAAACCATTATGTTGAATTTTTCAAAATTTTTAAATAAGGTGTGTTAAGATGAAATTTGTATCATCAATTAATTGAAATATTCTAAAATAGTACAATTTGTTGACCAGAATAAAGATTTGGACATATTATTCAGTTACAACAAGAGTGGTATTGAGCCTTTAAGTGAATGGATCTGGGGGCTAGCCATAAGAAGGGGGGTGGGGTGGATGGCCGAATGGTTAGCACGTGCGCGCTTTATCATGGCTGTCATTGAGTCAACTGGCGTGGTTTCGAATCCCCGGTTGTACGTGACAAAGAGTAGGGTCGTCTGTCCAACCTCGTGGGTTTTCTCCGGGTCCTCCGGTTTCCTCCCACTGCTAAAGACCCCTACGCGCAAGCAAATTATTGAAATAAAATTAAACCATATGTTAGTCCCAAAATGACCTAGTTTGTGTCGAGTGGACATTAAACCCCATTTCTCCCTCTCTCGCTAGCCATAAGTGTCCACTGACCTAAAAGTCAAAGAGATTTAATAGCTCCTTGTGGTACACTTGATCTAGATTTATATACTATGAACAGAACTTGAGTAAAGATATATAAACAATGGTTGAAAATGACTGAATTATGATTTTGTTTGCCTAGAAATGACATTTTTCGCCAACTGAGTGTTGGGAGGTCGTGTAGTCTTTATTTGGTTTAAAATATATAATACTGTCTGCCATTAAATCAAATGGAGTGGCTTCAAAATGACCTGTTTGTGTGAGGAGGACATTAAAACCCATCTCTTTCTCTCCAACAATGATTAAACACATCTAAACCAAACATTAAAATCACAACATCCCAGCCAATTTATTATACTATCTTTATTAGCCCAGTCCTTTTATAACAGTAGGCCATTAAACCCCCCATTTCATTTTGTGTCGTGTCAGAAGGTCTGTCATTGAGTCAACTGGCGTGGTTTCAATTCCCTGGTTGTATGTGACAAGGAGTAGGATCCCCTGTCCAACCTCGTGGGTTTTCTCTGTGTCCTCCAATTTCCTCCTAATTGTTAAAGACCCCTACGCCCAAGGGAATTATTGAAATAAAATTGAACCATGTGTTAGTCCCAACATGACCTCTCTCTCATTTTGTGTCCTAGATGTATATTGGTATATTAGCTTAAAAGGTGGACAGATTCTGTCTTTCATTACAATATTTGAGGCCCATTTTTTATGCTACCCCTTCCACCAATTTTGTCCTTATAGGGTTCAAACTTTGTGGCCCTTGGGCTGAAAAGATTTTAGGACCCCTGATAAAAATTCACAGACTCTGAAATTATATTGTATACATTTACTGTACATGTACATGTATGTGCATTGTAAATCTAAAGTTTATTTTGATATACATGTATGATGCGGCCGTTCTGACTTTTGAATATTTGAAAAACAGGGCCTACCGGTGAATACTATGAAATCAAGTAAATGTGTAGAAAATTTGTCCACATGGTACTTTACATGTACATAAAAAATCATCTACATATATTCTACAGTTTGGTTTTAAACTGTTTAAGGCAAGGCGATCATAAAAGTTATTTATAAAGTCAAGCTATAAAATTATGTTAATTTTAGAAGACGTCAAACGGTACACCTATTTTGAGGCCAGATTGTAAAACATGAGGTGACTACCGGTATATAACGTGTAGACAAGACGTGGGAACAGGAAGAACAATTTGAATGACAACCATAATGTACATTGGGGTCCTCCTATTCACCAACATCATTGTTTTTTGTCAACCAAAGTATTTCAAAAAATGACCCTGACAAGGAAAGATATTGTACATTGGGGTCCTTCTATTCTCCGACATCATTGGGTTTTTTTTTGCAATACATTAATCTTGACTATCTTACATGTAGACGTGGGAACAAGAAGAAGAATTTGAATGACAACCATAGTGTACATTGGGGTCTTCCTATTCACTAACATCATCGTATTTTGTCAATATCAACCAAAGTATTGCAAAAAGTGACCCGACTAGGAAAGATACTGTACATAGTTCTCCGCCTATTTACCGACATCATTGTGTTTTTGTCAATATCTTCCAAAGTGACCCAACAAGGAAAGATACAATGTACATGTATGCATATTATCTATAACATATCTTCCCTTGTCGTCACTTTTTGCAATACTTTGGGTGATATTGACAACAAAACGCTCTTGTTGGTGATTAATAGGATCGATACATTGTACATCAAATTGAAATGATCTTCTTAGACTAAATATACATTGTACACAGAATGATCTTAGACTAAATATTACCTTCTATAAATTCTGTTTTAATTAGTCATACATCTCTCTCTCTCTGTACTAGTACTGCATTGGGCTATGATAACAGCGCACACATATCATTCAGTCTCCCCCCCCCCCCCCCAATCATAAAAATGTTACTACAAACAGGGATGTTGGATGGCCGAATGGTTAGCGTGTGCGCGTTATATCATAATCATAAGATCTGTCATTGAGTCAACTGGCGTGGTTTTGATTCCCCGCTTGTATGTGACAAGGTATAGGGTCACTTGTCGAACCTCGTGGGTTTTCTCCAGTTTCCTCACATTGTTAAAGACCTCTATGCGCAAGCGAATTATTGAAATAAAATTTAATTATGTGTTAGTCCCGAAATGACCTAGTTTGTGTTGAGTGGACCTTAAATGTAAACCCCACCTCTCTCTCTCTCTCTCTGAAATTGATGTATTATTACAGTGTATATTGTACTAGTGTATTGGGCTATTTTGAGACTAACATAGTAAATTTTAGTTCTATGGTTACCATACATGTATATTAATCCCAAAATGTCTTATTGAGTAGATGTTAAATGGTTAAACCCCATTTCTTTCTCTATCAGAGTTATAATATTACAAAATGTTGTGAGATCTTGTGGCCTGTGTTCTCCATTGTAATTTTTATATAAAATGTTAATCTGCCCCAAGGTAACAAATTCTTTAATAGAACAGGTTTAGAGATGAAGCCAAATTTATACACTTATATATGATATAGGCCAATTGATATAAAACTTAGTGACTCGACTTGACATTCTCAGTAAATATTAAATACTGCAGTACACTAAGTAATAAAATATTCGACATGTTTGAAAGATAATACTGTAGGATAGGGTTATTTATGTTGATTAAATTCCCAGCCCGTGGAATGTCAAGTATATGATCCTTTCTCCTTGCACATATTTATATATGCGCATAATTTATTCAGTAAAAAAAAATTATGTATCAAATTTTATATGGTATAAATTAAATTGTTTAAAGTGTGAAAAAGTCAACCATTCATTATTTATATTTCTCTGTTACAAAAAAATATAATTACTTTTAAAAAATCGCAAGCTTCAGGTCAACCGTCATGATTATTTTTAAACCATGTGGTGTATTTGTGGTTTCATACATGTAGTTACCTTAAAGGAGCTAAATCGCTAACATTTGGGACCTAGAAATTGACACAAGTGGGTCACAACTCATATAATACTGTAATATGAATGTATATAAACTGATTTACATTCAATCAATTTCGTTTTTACTCTAATTTCAAATCAGTTATGTTCCGTGAAATAAGCCAGCAGTCTCAATCGAATGCAAATTCCTAGCGTCTGGTTATTCCAGTCTACATACACCGTTTGGTTTGGTGTAATATGTCTAGCCTCGTTCCTTGAGTCTCTTGCTAGAACTGGGGCTGAAACGCATTATGGTACACGATTCATGTACCAATGGTAAAATATTTATTTTGGCTTAAATATTGGATATCAGAAGCCCATCTTTTTCCGGTAAGATCACAGCATCAATG